TTTAGAAATAAATTGAAAGTGTTTAGTTATCTGAGGATGTGAGCTAGCAAGTTTCTTTCAGAGGCATTGGCTGAAATATCTTGCTTGCTCTTTTTTAGAGTGAAGTGGTGGAAACAGTATCTTTAATGCTTAGGAATTCATTGTTATAATCTCAGTGTTGCAGAAGAAAATGAATTATTGGGGCGAAAATGTCTGGATTTTTTAAAAGCTGGACTATTACAATGTAATATGGTCCTGTTCATTATATTGTACCAACTAAATTTGTTGGAAGCTTTCAGAACAAGAGGTAGGAACTGAAGTACAGCCCTTGTTACAATGAAGAGAGTTTGTTTTACGCTCCATTCCTAATGTGGTAAACTTACGCTTTGGTATGCATTATTTCCTGAATCAATAAATAAGCTGTAATGGAAAACGGAGCATTTAATAAAGAATGACATTGTATTTTTTTTAAAGACATCATAAAATATTGATTCTTCTATCAAACCTGTAGGAGATCAGTTTAAGTTGCAGAAACTGGAGAATAGGGTCAGTTCATGTACATATTTTTGTTATTGTGACTGTTAAGTATCTACCTTTAATTATTCTATTTTTTCCCCAACTTCCAGATAAATAATGCTATTCTGGGGAAACAAGGAACTATATTAATGAGCATCAACTCCATAATTATACTTGTGGCTGCATAACAGGGACACAGCCATGTCATTTCTTCAGGCAGTAACTTTTGCAAAGAAGTATTTTTAAACTGGTCATTAATTTTATGACCATAGAAATGAGATGCAAAATTTATGCTGTTGTCATTGGCATGGCTTCAAAGCACTGCTGACATTATGTGTGATTGTAATGGAATGGCTGCCAACTAATGAGTCTATAGACATTTTGTTTGAGCATGCTTTGCTTTTAGATGTTTGATTAGGCAGCAATGCTTTCAATTATGCCTGCAAATTGTATTGAATACATTTACCTGATGCCCATTGTTGCTTTGTAGTTTGGTTTTCTATTACATAAGTGCAAGTTGAATGCTTTTCTTTAATTTATTGATGCTTTTTGGGTGTATTTTTAGATACTTGGCACCTGAAGAGAATAGTGGTTCATGCTGCTCAACACTGACTCCTCTGACTGTTCAAGGAGTAACACATGGAGCTTCAAATGCAATTCTGACTGCTCTTACTCCATAGGTGGAGTATAAACTTCAATGCAACACATTGATGGAGGAGCATGTAAAGTGGAGAAAGGGCAGATTGCTCTGAGTGGGAATGCAGGAGACAGCATAGGATCAACGGGAAGCCTCTTTGTGAACTGTCAGTTCAATATATAATATCTTATATATTAACAACATACAGTCCTAAGATATCGTTTAACCCTGCCAGAACTAGGAGACAAAAACCCCAAGATTGATACCAGAAAGTAGTCCTTCTTTTATGCCATTACATAAACACATTGTGAAATGTTGCCTGTTAAAATTCCAGAGCATAATGAGTCAGCTTTCTTATTGAAATGCTGCAGTTCTTCTGTCCAAATTAGTTTATTTAAGAATTGTATTTTTTCTGTGTGAAATATAAATCGATGAAAACTGTTATTTACTTGCTACTATTTTTCTTTACTCTAAAATAAAAAATTGAGATTTTTTTTGGTTTAATCCAGTCTTGCATAAGTGCAGGTTACTTGTACCACTATCCAGAGTCTGCCACCTATTCTCCACATTTTTCATGTAAAGTGTGGATACCTAAATGTAGTATTGTATGACATAGTATTTATATTTTGGTTCTGAGTGTCATTCTCAGTGAAGGCTTTTTTTCATGGAAGTCTTCAAGCCTTCTTTAGGATTTAACATCTAGAGAATGCTTTGGCAAATGTAAGGCACAGAGTCTGATTTCTTTCTTCATAATACTCTCAACACTTTTTTTTTTTTTTTGGTTGTTTTGTTTTAAGAGCATTTTGAATTTGGATATTCTAGACATAAAACAGAAACTTGTTTTATTATGAATTTACGTTCAGTGTTGCCATGGTTTTTGTTGGTTCAAATACAGTATATAACTGTGTCATGATTTTGATGCCATATGGCAACTAAAGCCCATATAGTCCCTCACTCATTTGCCCCTGCTGGGATAGAGGAAATAATCAGAAGGGTAAAAGTGAGAAAACTAATGGGCTGATATGAAATTGGTATAATAGGTAAAGCAAAAGCTGTACACAGAAGAAAGACATAACAAGGAATTAATTAAATCACTTGTCCTGGGTAGGCAGGTGTTCAGCCATTTCCGGGAAAGCAGGACTTCATCACAAGTAACAGTGACTTAGAAAGACAAACATCATCACTCTTAATGTCTCTTACATCCTTCTTTTTCCCCCAGCTTTATATGCTGAGCATGGCATCATATGGTGTGGAGTGTTCTCCTGGTCAGTTGGGGTCAGCTGTCCTGGCTGTGTCCCTCACAACTTCTTGTGCATCCCAGCCCACTCACTGGTGTGGTGGTGTAAGAAAAGAAGAAAAGGTGTTGACTCTGTAAGCATTGCTCAGCAGTAACTAAAACATGCCTGTTTTATCAACACTAGTTTTAGCACAAATCCAAAACATAGCCTGATACCAGCTACTGTGGAAAAACTTTGTCCAAGCTAAACCAGCACAATCTGGGATAGGTATATAGTATGCCCTAAATATGTATGCATTAAAAATTCCTGTGTTCCTAGGTCATCTGGCTTTTATCTGAAAGTAAAGCACAACTGTTTACTGAATTTAAATCCTAAGTGTAATTGGAAAATGGTAGTATGGCGACTTAGTGGAAGAGCAAGGTAACAGTGCAGCTTTGCAAACTTACGTAAGAAATTATGTATTGTTGAGTGGGACAAAATCCTCTGGAGATGTTCTTTCTACTTGTATACTTACCTACTTGTCATCCACAAGTATTATTCATTCAAATATACTAAGGTTTGCCATTCAGCCCATGAATTATATGTGCTGGAGTGAGTTGTTTCTGGAATTGTTTTCTTCTAGAAATACAGCCTAATATTTTGAATTTATGCTGGCACTTTCATGAGGGTTCAATGATAACATGTTTATGCATAGCTAATGAGAAGACATTTTTGATTGACAAACAGGGCTGACATATGCACATATATTCAATACATTCTAGTACTAGTAAAAGTTTAGGACAGAAAACAGTGGAACTTTTGGAATGGAATTTTACCATTGTATAGGTTGTGAATATTGTGTTTGTTCTTTTTATATGGAGTGTATAATCTAATACAGATATATATATAGGCAAAGAGAGACAGGCATCTGGTCTCTGGAATCTAAGTGTAAAATATGATCATGCTGGTTATAAATAAGGCATAATATTTTCTGTTAATGTGCTATCTGTTCTGTGTTTTTCTATTTGGAGGAAGAGGTGAACTCTAGAGAGAAATAATTTACTTTTGATGGTTTGACAGGTGTGATGAAGTGCAAATATTTTGATCAGATTAACACGATGACTGGCATGTTACTGGGAGAGGACTATGTCAAAAATAGGTTGGAGTTAGGCTCAGGTTCAGAGCAGTTGTTAAATGGTATAGGAGCTTGGGAGGAAGCTTTCCTTAGAAAAGCATACTAAATTAATGAAGGGAAAGCCTAGCTAGTGTTTGACAACCTTTTAATGTAAAAGAACTCTAGCAAAACAAATATCAGATATTGTTTTAACTGCATGGAAAACTTGCTGTTTTTTACAAACAATCACGGAGCCTTCTATCATAGTCTCTGATTTTTCTGTGTGTTTCCATTATTAAATGGGAGGGGGTAAAACTCAGCCATGGTTAGACAGTCCTACTGATGAATGCAATTTCTGCATCTGTGAAGAAGAATATATTCACTATGCATGGGTTTATTTTGGATTCTAAAAAGTAAGTTTTCCAATCCAGTGCTCAAAAAGGAACACATAGATAGAGAAGGATATTTGGATATCTCTGGAAAGCCTTTTGTGTTTGCATATACCAAAAAGCATTGCTTGAACAGTTTAGTGTTACATGATTTTCAAGAAATTTGAGGACTATTTAATCAACTTTATGGTTAAATTTGAGGACTATTTAATCAACTTTATCATTAATCAACAAGGAGCATCAAATTTATGATTCTGGTCAGATGATTTTTGTCATATTTAGCTTTTTCGTTTTCACAGATATTTTATTTGGTTTTTTTAGGAGCAACGTAATTTGTTATTTCCCCCCCCACTTCTTTGCCTAGACATATTAAACATATCTGAGAAAATATACTGAGTTTCAGGAAGAAGTTTTGCTTAATTAGGTGAAAGCCTCAACTAATATTGATTTCACTATATCTTTCCTAGACCTTCTCGCTTATGCATGACACTGCTCAAAGTTCAGCAGATTAACTGATTATGTAGATTTTGTATCTATTGTAGCAGGGCTCTCAGTTGGGCAAGAATTCATTAACAGAATGCTGCATTAAGCCACAGGTTCTTACCAGGTGCTGCCAGGCAGCAATTCCACTTCTAGTTTCATGGGAGGAATACACACAGAGTTTTGCAAGGCAGTGCCTAATTACAGTGAAGAAAAGTAAAAGTGGGCAGAGGTCACTGCTGCCAACAGTAGTTTGGCATTTCCTGGGAGGGAATTTGCTGCAGCTCCATCCCAGTCTGGGACAGGCAGAACTTCTGAGCCTGGTGCTCTCCTTTTTATCTTGTGCCAGTGTTTTCTCTTTCCTGCCTCTTTGCTGTGGTGTTTCTTTCCCCCCTTGTGAGAAGCTGCCAGCTGTGCAGTGCTGGGATCAGGTTCATTATACGACAGCTTTAGGGAAACTGCTCCAGCAGCATTTGCACATCGGGTCAGAAGGTAGCCTTAGAATGGCATCGCTCACAGCTGTGCTGGAGCCTGCCAATGTCCATGAGAAGTAGGATTTTTTTCAGTTCCAGATAGGAATTAATATCCTCCTTACTATCGCAAATACTTTTATCCTGTGTGTTTGTGTGATAAACTATTTAACTAGCAACGTGTATTGACTTTTACAGAGCTGGAAGATGAGGAAGAGTCTGAGAACTCTCTTTCTTCGCCTCCTGATAGCGTCTCAATAGCATCTGACCGGTATGATAAAGAGGATGAAGCACCTTCTGATGGTATGTGACACTGTTTACCTTAGAAAATACTAGATTTGCCAGTTTGCTATGAGCTGATGTAATCGGATCCTAGTGATGCGAATGTTAGTGTTGGAAAACATAAACAGATAAGCAGCACAGCTGAGCACTTTTCTTACCTTTACAAGAACCTTTAAAGGAACTGAAGAGCTCTCTCTAGTGGTCCTAGAGCATAGTGAAGCTGTCTCAAATTTCCAGTGTTTCTCAACTCACGTTTTTTGATAACAAAGCATCTTATGTAGATACGTATGTTTTTAAAGATAGATCAGTGGCTAAACCAATGTGAATATTTGTAGTAACAAATTGTTTGTTAATTCAACGTTATCAGATTCTTGCTTAATTTTATTGTGCAACTTAATGGCGTACTGTATTATTTATCTAATAAATAATGAAACAGTTTATGTGATTGATATTTTTCTGCAAACTCCATGCAGAATAGGTTCATAAAATATTAAATTAATTACTCCTACAGTGTTTCCTTCCATTAAGACAGTGTTTTGTATGATGTTTTTGTTATATAAATTTTAAGTTTGGGTTTGCATGTAGGAAAAGTCTATGCTTCATAGCTCTTTTACATGTTGTTTTGTTTTGCATTCATTAAGTTCAATGCTAAATGTGACTGTTCTGAAGACATGAACAATTGAATATTTCAACATTTAACAAGCTTGCTTTAGCATAGTGTCCATATTTTTGAGATTAGTTTATTGTATACATAATATAAACACCTTCTATGGATAATATATGGCAGTAAATTAAGTACATGTACAAATAAATTAATGATGTATATTAATTTGTGGCACTGGAAGTTAGATAGACTTGCTAGTGAATGATGTTTTCTGACATGATATGATGATCAAACTGTGCAGCTCCATCTCAAAATACAATTGCTGAATGAAAATATGCTTCCTGCAATGTACCACTCCACATTTTATATTATCCAGATTATTCCCTTTGGAAGCATAAATTGCTTTTATGAGGTATAAAATTATGTCTATTGCAGAACAGGGATAAGTCAAGTACATGCATAAGTGATAAACCTTCTAACCACTGATTCAGAATAATGCATTTTTTTTTAATGTCCAGAACTCTATAAAATGTATAACAATAATAATCACACTTTTAAAAAATATTGAGCTTATTACATGTTGGCAGTATGACCAACTTAAAAAAAGTAAAACCAGGCCTTTTTGCTCTCTGGTTGAAATGTAATTATCAGTCAAATTGAGTATGGCTTTCAGAAAGCACAAGCTAATTTTCAAAACTACAGATGAATGCAACTTTCTATATATTTATTTTTGCTTACAAACATAATCTTATCATTATTTCTAATTATAACTTAATAACTTGGTACTGATTGCATAAAGAGTATTTGACAAAATTATATGACTATTTAATAGGAGATGCGATTATAGAATTGTTTCAAAACAGTTAATCAAGAGAAAAGTGATAACATTTACAACCTAAATAATGAATGGCTGGAGAATGCTGATGCAAGAGTATGTGAAATGCCGTATGAGTTTGTACAGATGGGTGATTAATTTTTAGCCTGTTTTGGAAGTTATGAGAGTAAGTATAATAGCTGCTCAACAATATTTTGACTAATTCATACCAGTTGAGGTAGAAATATAGAGGGTGTGATTTTTTTATATTTGAGGTGATTTTACCTTGCTGGTCTTTCTATATTTTATGATAAATCCTCTTTAATTGCCTAGTGGGAGTGTAGCACGAAGAAAATTTGAGAAAAGGTGATAAATTTTTATCTGTAAATACTTAATTTATTGGAGTATACAGTGTTCCTCTTTTTCTCTTTGGATGTCTAATGTGTCATTCTAAGACCATTTTGATTTTAATATATATAATCCATCATTCCAGTCTAGCCATCTAGCCTGTGTATGAAAATATATGTTGGGAAAACCTTATAAGAGGTGGATTGATCCCCAGAGGTGCCATTTGTTTCAGTTCTAATAGGCATAAATGGGTTTGTTGAGGCTTAACACTGTATTTTAGTTTTTTAGTGGTCTGTTAATGTTCAGTATTTAAATCCTACTCAAGAAACTGGGTCTGTAAGATGGTCTGTAGATGTTTGATCTTTTATAATTACTAGTTCAGTTCAGCAGGGTTGTGTACAGATCTAAAACCTGATTTGTGTAGATCTAGGCTCCCAGTGTTAACAGAGGACCCTATCTGTAGGTAACCAAATTGAGGTGGTTTTTATTTATGTTTGAGTCCATTCTAATGTAAAACTTTCTACATATATTTTCTGCTAAAAAGCCCCAAGGCATTTCTCTTTATGTACTTGAGTTAGGCTGCATGGTTTGTATGACTTGCGAAAGTGTCGCAATTTGACTTTGCGGCATTACTGTCAAAACATAATTTGTGAAGGCACACACTTGGTAACAGATAAAGAATTAGTATATTATGTGTATGTTACAGTCATTGTAAAATCCTGGAGTTTTTGTGTGACCTTTGTCTAATGGTGTATTAATTACAAGAGGGATAATCCATTTAACAATAAGTATGGGATAACTAAATTAGCACAGGTCACCTAAAGGCCTTTTGTCAAATCTGATTGTTATGTTGTCCTTTTGACTTTTACCTTATGGTAGGCACTAACAAAGTATCTAAACTTTGATGGATTATAAACTCTAAACATGATATGTATTTTTCATAATGCTAATGTAATTTTCTAGGTACTGAAAAGGTCAAACCCCCACGTCTCTGTGTGCATTCTAAGTCTGTCTTTCCTTCTAATATTTCTTTTTCTCTGTTCCTCTGGTTCAAAAGTTCACTCAGTTCCCAAATGGCCACCTAATTTTCCAGTTATTCCCTCAAGCCATATGTGTTTTGGTTTCTTTATGGTTTATTAGGTACTGTAGGAAAGTAGCATAAGTTATATCATCTAATGAAATTCAAGCACACTTCAGTGATGCTTTGACTTGATTGCTGGCAGCAATTAAATCACAATGAAAGAGAATGATGCATGGGCTTACATGTCCAGACACCCTACAGAAATTGGAAGAGGGATAAAACACAACAAAACCCCCAAACAAAATAACAAACTGAAAAACAAGACAGACCAAACAAAACAGCACAGCCAGGCACTCTGGTCTTAACTTGATTTTTTTTATTGGCTAACAGCCTGATTGATAGCAAAATCATAACTTGCTGTATGCTAACAGGCAGAGTTCACTTGTAGGTTATTGTGAGCTGATAAAGGGTTAGATGGAGTTTTGATTTTCGCATTGGTCCTTGGTGTACCAGATTAATGGAATTTCAATGAGAGACTGGAGTAGTCACAGCTTTGTCAGAAAAACAGATGGAGATTCTATAGCCATGTCTGCTCATTAATACCAGTTGCCTGAAAGGTGTACTACTTCTCTATACAAAAGACTCAACATAATTGATTTTTGAGCGAGGTATTTTTTCACTTATTGATGACTAGGTTTCTTGCAACTTAACTGACAGGTTTTTGTATAGTACATTGTATAACAGTGTTATGTCTTGTAATTTCTTACTCCCCTTCCATCTGCATATTGAAGAATATATGTAGTGGGAAATACATATGTCTTGGTTAGTTAAAAACCAAAGCACATAAAAATATTTAAAAATTGAAATACCAAGAATTTCTTTCAAGTTGGAGACCAACTTACTTTTGGTTGAGAAGTAAATTGGGAAAAAAAGTTAATGTTTTTAGTTTAATTTTCAAGTTTCCTAGTTATTAAGTACAGGTTCAACGGCAAGCTTAAACTTTCCTGTTTACTAATGCTGTAATCTTCTTTTACAATATATAGGGGATTTTTACTTTTTTTGGTTTATGGTATGGTAAACTGAGATATGTCACTAGTATTAAAGGAAGAAACTTCGACTTTGTAAGTGGACCTCTAAAGAAGACGTTGCTTTGGCTCTGCAGGGAGTATGTAACTGGATAATTACTGGATCTAAAAGAATGAATGGTGTGATGAAATAATTCAGATCATCACTATTTCTGTGGAAGGTCTAGAAATGTTGCCTTGAGAAGGTAAGGATGAAAGAAGTACTAAAAATGTGTCTGGGGACTTGTATGCTCTTCAGATTATCACATTTAGCTATAGCTTATGAATAAAAGATACTTTTTAGTGGAAAATTTTTAAACAGTCTGAGAATATCTTATTAAATTTCCCCATAGTTAAAGCAGAGGAAGGTAGGGCTGAAGCAAGCAAACTGGGCACTTGGAGAACTTTGAGGAAAAAGAGTAAATGAAAGGGTTGTGCTTTAATTGTTTGTTGTTAAAGTGCAGTCTTGAAAATGAGCAAAATTTATTCCTCCTGCAACATGATTTTCTTGCTATAATTTTTGGATGAAGCAATAGGCATCAGCACTTTGTTTTCATTTGGAAAAGCACTTTGTAGTTTCTTTGGAAAAGTTCTATATAAGTCTTTGCAGGCTGGAGTAAACGATTTTGCATGATCTGTAGTATTTACTTAATATGAACATCATGTTTTGCAGTTTGATCAAGTGAGAATGAAAAATTGTGTGACTGAGTTTTGCATGCTGTTTCTTTTTACATGTAAAGTCTAAAATACAAATCCTGATTAAGCTTTTCCCCCTGCTTATTTTTCCTATTTTTTAGGCCTAGTAATTTGAATACTGTCATAGTAGAGTTCAGTGTAAGGTTTTATCTTTGTGCATACACACAAGTGTTTTCCCACTTCCTCCAGCTACATTTGCACTGAGTTTATTTTTGAGGCATTATATTAAAGCAAAAACTGTTCCTCAGTTAAGCACTGTTAGCAACTAAGGTATCAAAGGTTGGAGAATGGAAAATACAACTAGAAATTTCTATCCTTTCTCCCTTTACCTTCTTATCCCTCCAGTCTTGTCTTGGTATACTACTTTTTAGTAACATAATCATGTATATGGAGAGAATGTTTGGTTGTCTTGGGGATGACAGCACTGGAAATTTACCTGAGTTATTGTAGGAGATTAGTTATTTACTTTGAGTA